GAGTCATACTATAGTCCACTCTGTGGTTAGTACAGTTCTGGATGATAAGATACAGCTGGTGGCGTGTGTAACTGAAGGAGCAGGTGGTCAAGATGTCTCTTCTATTCCTCAATCAATTGGGAATGCAAATGTTAGTTTTGTGGATGCGGTTTTAGGATCATTAGTGGAAACTAGGAGTCCTAGTTCCCTACCACAGTAGCCTGTTGGAACGAGTTCACCTGTTTCAGGGAAGCTAGTTTCTCAGACACCTGCATTTGCAAAAGTGAAAAATCATAATCCTTGGATAACTGTTGGTTCCAAAAAGAAGGCTACCACACCTCGAGTTGCAAAACCTGTTCTTCATCGTAAAGGGGGGATGGCTGGAAAGAAAAGATGAAAATACTTACATGGAATATCCGGGGGTTTAATGACCCGGATAAGAATAAAGTTGTCCAACAGCTAGTTAATAGAAATAATGTTGATATTATAGTTATACTAGAGCCTAGAGTTAGAATGAATAAAGCTGATGAGCTGATAAATAGAAGGTTTTCTGATTGGAAGTCAAAAGTTTCAAATAATGTTGCTGGGTTGGGGAAGTTATGGCTTCTCTGGAAGGCTAATGTTAATCTTCGGGTTTTGCACACATCAGATCAATTCTTTCATGTTTTGGTTGGTTCAGGGGTTCCATTCTTTATGACAGTAGTCTATGCATCAAATGAAGAAGCTGACAGAAGACTTCTCTGTTCAAACTTGGTTAAGTATCAAGTGAGTTCTCTTTCTTGGGCTGTTTTAGGTGATTTTAATGCTATTGGGGATCCAAGTGAGGCTTCAAATACTCCTCAATTCTCTAGTAGCATGTCTGACTTCAAGCAATGGCAATTTGATTGTGAGTTGGAAGAGCACAAGGCTTCAGGACCATGGTTTACATGGATTAACAAACAACAGGGTAATCCCATAGCTAGGAGACTTGACAGAGTTTTTATTAATACAAAATGGTTGGCTGACTTACCTCTGAGTACAGTGGATCTTCTTGACCCCTCAGTGTCAGACCATTGCCCTATTCTTCTAAATTCAGATTGCTCAGTGAAGTCTTTGCCCAAAATTTTCAAGTTCTTTAAATTTTGGATTCAGCATCCTCAGTTCATGGATTTGGTTAAGCAGGCCTGGAGTTCACAAGTTGATGGTTCACCTTTGATTCGTGTTTGTCAGAAGTTGAAAATTCTGAAGGGACTACTGAAGAAATTAAACAAGGATGTGTATTCTTATTTGAGTGAGAGAGTTAAACTGAAAGCAGCTGAATTGCTTTTGGCTCAGGCTGAAGCACTTAGTAACCCATCTCCCATTACTTTTGAAGCTGAGATTAGACTTTCTAAGGAGGCAAAAGAGCTGAGAGATGCTGAGGAGTCAATTTTTAGACAGAAATCTAGAGAGGTTTGATTGAAGGAGGGTGATGCTAACACTCCTTACTTCCACAAATCTGTCAAAACTAGACAGAAGAGAAATATGATTAGATCTCTTATTGATGATTCTGGTCAAAGGGTAACAGATTTGGATGGTATGGTGAAGATAGCAGAGGGATTTTAAAGAAAGCTATTGGGGGAGGAAGATAAAGAGGTTGTTTTACCTGATGTTGATCAGATTAGGGATATATTGATGAAGAAGTTGTTGCCTGCCCAAGGAGATGTGCTGTGTAGACCAGTTACTGCAGAGGAAATCGGAACCACAATGTTTGGTTTTAATGGGGAAAAAGCCCCTGGTCCTGATGGTTATCCTGCTTGTTTCTTCCAGGCTGCTTGGAGCATTGTGGGAGCTGAGGTAACTAATGCTATCCTCTATTGTTTTCACTTTTCAAATGTCCAGTATCCCAGTTAGTGTTAACTCCACACTCTTAGCTCTCATTCCTAAAGTTCAAAGCCCTGAGGAAATGAAGTTTTTTCGCCCAATTGCCTGCTGTAACATACTCTATAAGTGTATGGCTAAGATTCTGGCAACTAGATGTCATGCCTAGTGTCATTAGTGAATCTCAGACTGCCTTTGTCAAGGGTTGAATCATTGGTGAAAACATTCTGCTTGCTCATGAACTAGTTCAGAAATATGGTAGGAAAAACATCTCTCCCAGATCCCTGGTTAAAGTTGACCTAATGAAAGCGTTTGATTCATTGGATTGGGGTTTCCTGTTTAAAGTTCTTCAAGCTATGGGTTTCCCTGAAAAATTTCTTGCTTGGTTAAGAATGTGTGTCACCACTCCGAAGTTTAGTATTGGTTTCAATGGTGGTTCAGTAGGGTATTTCCCAGCAAAGAAAGGATTGAGGCAAGGGGATCCCCTCTCCCCTTATCTCTTTGCTGTGGCCATGGAGATATTCTCCTGTCTTATGAACAAGGCAGTTCTCCAGAACGTTATGCCTTTTCATCCTATGGGCAAAAGACTGAAGCTCACTCACTTAATGTTTGTTGATGATCTCCTACTGTTTTCTGATGGCTCAAATTTTGGGATTCAATGTATTAAAAAGGTTCTGGAAGAATTTAGATACATGTCTGGGCTCATATCAAACCCTTCCAAGTGTGAACTCTACTGTGGGGGCATTAATGACCAATTGCAAGAGCAGATGTCTCAGTTCTTAGGTTATAAGTTAGGATCACTTCCAGTTCGTTATCTGGGCCTCCCTCTACTTTCTGGTAAACTTACTATAAAAGCCTGTAAGCCCCTCATAGATAGGGTTATGAGCAGAATCAATAGCTGGAAGTCAAAGTCTCTTTCTTATGCTGGCAAACTTCAGCTTGTGATATCTGTGTTGTACAGCCTCTCTCATTTTTGGATGTCAGTTTTTATTTTACCTAAGGTTGTCATCAAAGCTATAGAAAAACTGTGTAGTGATTTTTTATGGGGAGTTGGTGAGGGTACTAGAAAGAAAGTAGTGGTTGCTTGGTCTCGAATTACCTATCCTAAAAGGGAAGGGGGACTTGGACCCAAAGATATGTGCACATGGAACCTTGCTTGTGTTGTAAGGCACATCTTAGCTGTTTTAATTAGACATGGGTCTTTATGGGTTGCTTGGCTCTGGGAGTTTCGTATAAAAGGGGGCAACTTTTGGACTCTAACATCCAAAGCTGGATCCTGGATATGGCAAAAACTGTTGAAGATCAGGGATAAAGTCAGGGGATGGTTTTCTGTGGCTTCTGATGGTGTTTATTGGAAGGGCGAACTTATGACTAAATTTTGTATCAGGAAGGTTTGTGAGGAGTTTCGTCCCAAAAGGAGTTTTGTCACTTGGAAGTCTCTGGTTTGGAAAGGTCTTAGTATTCCCAAGAATTAGTTCCTGGTTTGGCTAGTCATCACTGACTGTATCACAACTGGAGAGAAGGCTCAGGGGTGGGGTGGTTCAGGTGATTATGGATGTGTTTTCTGCTCGTGCAGTTTGGAAATGAGGTCTCACCTCTTTGCCGAGTGTCATATGTTTAAACAGTGTTTTACAGCTCTGTTTGCTAACTTTGCAGAACGAATCCCTGGAGATCAATGGAACTCTGAGCTTCAGTATCTACTTTCAAGGGTTCCACAATCTCAACACAAGCTGGAAAGTTAATTTGGCGAGCCTTGGTTGCTTCAATTTGGAGGGAAAGATGTCTTGTTAAGTTTGCAGGCAAAAAGGTTGATTTTCATGATCTGGTTATGCGAGTACAGGGGGATATCAGGGTGGTTGTCGATCCTGGAGTAGTGTGCTTGTTTTTCTGAGTCTTTCAGGTGAACTACATGGTTTTGTCGTTGTTTTAAGATCCATGGTTCTGATGTTTCTACAGCTCAGTTGGCAGAGCTGTTGCCAACATTGTATTTGGTGCTTTTGATGAAATGAAATACCAACCGATTCATCAAAAAAGAAAGTCACTCCTCTCTAACTTTCCATTGCATTCGTTAAAGCGAACCTCACCCTCTCGTAATCTTTCTTTCTTTGATGATTGTAAATGATGATGATCTTGTGGTGCTTGTGTTTGATGTCTTGGTAGTTGGTACTCGCTAATTGAATAAATACGTTTGATTATTTTTTATTTATGTATTGGAATTTTTATTTAAATTACGGAATCGTCATGAATGACTTATTATATTGATAATGTTTATTATAATTATTATTTTATATTTATAATGTAGAAATGTAGATAAATTATTTGTATGATTATTCGTCTTTAATATTTAGTACTCTGTACTTTTGGTCATTGTTATGCTCGTGGACCGAAATTGATGCTAAATGAAACTTGTTAAACTTAAATGGATTGTTGATTTATGTATTATAAGTGATTATTGTTTCAGTTTATTATATTTTGTGAAAGAAAATTGAAGCTATTGGTTTGATATTAGTTCCTTTAGGTTAACCGTACTTGTTGGAATTCATTTTAGTAGTTATTGGTTAGCTGCTAACCGAACCGATAAAAGGTGGTTAACTGATAAAGCTTATCTATTTGGTTATCAATATGAGTTTTTTGTTTATTGGTTAACCACTAACTGCTTTATCGGTTAGTGATTAACTGAAACCAAACCGATTAGATTAAAGATTTAAAACGATAAATGACAAAATTATTATTTTATATAAAAGTGTGGACGGCAAATAGTAAATACGCCCTTCAAATGCAATTTTCTGAGTAAAAAAAAAAAGGGCAAGGTCCGAGAAAACCGAAGAAATAACTCCCACATTCTCCTTCCAGGAAGACAATAGATTAAGAAGGGGGCTTCCTTCCAAGTTCCAACACCCACTCACCACTAAATCACTAATTCTTCTTCCATCTCCAGTTTGGCAGTTTCCCTTTTGTTTCAAATCTCGAGTTCTCCATTCATGGCGCTGCCTCGCCTATCCTAAAACCCATGAATTCATAAAAAGAACAAGAAAAAACAAATGATGTTAATCCTGCCATACCTTTAGGCTTTAATCTCCATTGTGTCACATCAATCATCATTTCATCAGGGCCAATTCAATCTTCACCCCGGTGTGTTTAATTTATTTTCATCTCAAGAGGTGAATCCGTAATTCCCCATCATCCATCATCTCTTTGAGTGTCGTATCGTGGCGGTCTAAACGTGATGGGGAAAATGCGGGCGCCCGAGAGGACGAGAACGGCGTCCACGATGACGATGGTGGTTGTCTTGATGTCCATAACAAACATGAATCGTATCCTTCTGGCCAATGCAGCCGATGACAGCAATCCTGTCTTCGATCCATGTTCCGATGCCGCCGTGGCAAAGTGGGTACATGGTGGCATTTGCTGGGAGGAACTCTCAACTCTTGGTACGCGAGGTTTCAAGTCTCGGGCAGTAGTCTCTTCAAGTTCAAGGGCTGTACTCCAATGTAAAGGAAAATCTCTTCATGTAAAAGTCTTTCACTTCACAATCAGCTTTGTAATTTAGTCAGTGGAATTTGATTATTCATTGGGAACCTTCAAGGTTTTTGAGGAAATACCAACCAAGGGATATTTTCATTCATTCTTCTAGTTTTTATCTTTACAACTTTTGAATCCCATGAACTTGCATCTAGGCTTCCTTTAGCAAAATGCTCATAGAGCTAGTGATCCTATGAGACCATATACAGAAGCATGATTTGGAGAACGATCGGCATTGTTTGAATATATGACAAGGGACCATGATAGAATTAGAAGCTTCACTCTGGAGCTTCACAAAACTATTAGGACACGCTGCTCCACCCTACATCTTTACTTTCACTTCATTAACCTCATCGTCATCGCCCACTCTTTCTTTGCTACCACTGCGATCTGCAAGTTGAGCATCAGAGACTCCAAGTTGGTGCTCAGATGCATTCTCAAGTTGTAAGGGAATGGAATGCTGCATTTCTTCAGCAGGTGAGTCTTCTGGATGAGATGGGCCACGGCGGGTTTGAATGAGAAAATGTGCCACGGACTTAAAACCCAGATGAGTAACCTGAAAAGCATGCCAAAAGTTAAATTGTTTTCGGGCTTCACATGCTGATGGATCGATATTGCAAATTTCACTGCTTTAGACACAGAACCAACATGCCATATGAGGTAGTCATTACCGTATTCAGACTCAATATTCTATTCACATTCAGATACAGCATGGAAGTTGAAGATTAAACCAACAAAAGTAATGTACCAACCTTCCTGTAAAGATTACCAGTTGGCAACCAACCCTTTTCCTTCCTGCAAAGACTGCAATTACATATACCCCGACATGGAGGGCAGATCCATTCTGAATTCTGATTGACTTCAATCACATTCTCTCCATATCTGCTCAAAAGTGGGCGGAATCGAGGCATAAAAAACAGAACAACCATAAACTGTCATATTCTTGAATTGGCACTGATCTGAAGAGTCCCATATTGGCTTGGTTGCAGAATTCTTCGTACGCTAACCTATAGCTATATTATGGTATTGGGTAAAAGAACAGCATTCTTCCTATTGGACTTGGAAATCCATATCCATGATAGTTCTCGGAACAAAATAAGACTTTTAAACAATTAATTGAAATAGAAAGGGACTTGAGGACCCTTAAATTAAGTGGCAGATAAATTTGCGTCCCAACAAAATGAAAATAGAAAAATAAAAGAGTTCTGCTCGTGTACACAGTTACCTCATGAATAAGCAGTCTCCACAGAACTGACCTTGGACCAACTTGCATTTGCAGCAAGTCGTGTGCAAACCCAGTGCCTTTTGCCTGCAGGAACAATGTTTATAGTTAAGAGTAGCAACAAACAAACCCATCGTTTGTAACAGTAGCAGGATTTAGAGTTAGCTTGCAAGAAAGTTTAGAAGCCTTAGGATATTCTACTCGCATCATTTGATCAATTCCTCTGAAGTTCCAAATACTAGTTTTTTCCCCCCACCAGCACTGGTATAGCACACTTGAGCATACGGATACTCTACTATGTTACCTTTGCTAAAAAATGAAACTGGAGACTTGACAGAGTAAACTGAACAAGGGGAAACAGAGATGCACTTATCACTAACCTGCACTGGTGACAGGTTTGTCCATTCACTGGATCAAGTATGCGCTTCCCGTCTTCACCATATCCATCCACGGACAAAGTCCATTCCTTCTGCCAATTACCCAGAAGCCTCTCATGCTCTTCCGTGTAAATCTCTGGCTGTGAGCCTTCTTTCAATTGAATCTCGACCACCTTTGAGGATTCCCGCTTCTTTCTGTCCACCACAGTCTCAGCATAGCTAACTGGAGCAAGAGTCTTCAACCTAAAAAATGAACCATAAGCAGGATTCTCAATGCAAGTCCAAAAGAGGCAGCAACCCAACAAAAAGGGAAATCTCGGAGAACGGCATTGCTTACCTGGACGAACGCCTCTGGGATTGAGAATCAGAGGGCGGCGGTCTGGCAGATTTCGCATCGGAAGAAACATTTCTAGGGTTTCTGTTGGAGGCCTTGAGCTTGAGAGAGAGGTTCAGAAGCCCTAATTTCTCCATTCTCTCTTTATTCTCTTTGATTCTTTGGTCTCTCAATTCTTCATACCCAGAAACTGGAATCGATTCCGAACTCGGACTCCCTCCATCTGATCCTTCCTCCGCAGCGATGGCGACACTTCGGGCTCTTCGCCGCCGCGTGGACACCATTTCTTTCTCTGCCCCAACTTTGCTCCGGTCGAAGTAGGTAAAAGAATGGAATTTGAAAAGACCGCTTATTTTAACAATGTCGGAAGTGGCGGGAGCAGGGTATGGTGCTGGTTGCCAATCAGGTAGTGCCATCTAGAAAGAGGGAACATACATTTTCAATTGTCTTTTCATTTTCAATATGGCTTGCAAGTTGCAAATGTTGCTTTTATGGCTGGAAAATTGTAAGGGTCGTTTGGATGTGGAAATGTAATGCAGTAATTGGAACCAATTACCATATAATGCAGTAATTGGGTTAAAAATCCACGTTTGGGAGAGCAAAAAGGTATGGAAATTGGACCATGGAAATTGGCTTCAATTACCACATTCATGGTAATTGAGAATATTACACCTCCCCCTAGTAATTTGACATTACCACGTTTTCTTACTTCTGTTTTCAAATGCCACACCATCAATTCCCACAAAACTAAACCCTATCCAAACGTGAATTTTTTTTTCAATTTCCACAAGTCAATTCCTTGGTTTTGTAAAACATGCAAATTCAGAAAATTCCAACGTTTTCAAATTTCCACATCCAAACGACCCCTAAGTTTGGTCACTGGAATTACTAAAGAGTTTCACGTTAGCCATTAAAATTAGTTTATTTCATTTATAATCATTAAAATTAGTTCAACAGTTCAAATTTGGTCACTTTTCGTTAGTCTCCGTTAGTTTTCGCTGATGTAGCAGTCAACTCAAAGAGTTAACCGTTAAATAAGTGATGTGATTCATGATAGATCGTTTTGTTTCTTAGCGATCTCAATAGTGGTTGGCTTGAAACCCTAGCAAACCACTCAAAATTTGGGTATTTTGGGAATTTTTATTGTAATTGTTGTATGTTGGGAATTATTTTTTGCAAGTATGGTAATTTGGGATTTCTTCCCCGTATCCATAGCTGTTAGTTGTTCTTTTAGCTACACCTTCTCGGCTGTTACATACAAACTAGGGCTGCAAACGAGTCGGGTCGAGTTTTTGCTTAGCTTGAGCTCGGCTCGTTTATAAAATTTTTAGCTCGAGCTCGACTCGAACTCGAATTTTGATTATCCAGCTCGAGCTCGGCTTGATAGAGCTCGGTAAATGCTCATTAACACAGCTTGTCAAGCTGAGTACAAGCTCGGCTCAAGATAAGCTCGATTTGAAACCATTCTTGCTGAAAAATGTGTACAAATAAGAACATTAGAAATTAAAAATAATAAAAGAACACTAGAAACTAAAAATAATATCTAACTTCCATACATATCCTTATTAAAAAGATAATTTTCATGTTCAGAAGAGTAATTATTCCTTCCACAAGCTTTAAACAAGCCAGCTCACGAGCTTAGCTCAACAAGCCACCGAGTCAAGCTAGCTCACGAGCTTATCAAGCCGAGCATGGCCTAGCTCAAGCTTGGCTCGTTTACTAACGAGCTGACTCGCGAGCTGGCTTGTTAAACAACGAGTCGAGTGTCGAATGAGTTTTTTCCGATTCGAACGCTGAGTTGCTCGCGAGCAGCTTGGCTCATTTGCAGCCCTAATACAAACACTCCATTAGCTCTCCACGTTTCAGGGTCGACCCAGAGGGTGTGCCAGCCGGCCCTCCAGCACAAGGCCTCCAAATTTTGGGGCCTCCGGACCTCCATCATGTATATGACTAATTACTATTACGGATTATCATATTCCAATTATAAATTTAAAATGATAGAAAATTTATGAACTGTGTTTTGATTATGGGTCTAAAACAATAATAACAAATTTAATTCCAAAGGTTAAAGGAATGAACGAATCACATGAGGCAAATACTTGTTTTCTTATTAAACTGTTTCCAAACCATATAACATAACTTATTTTTTGTCGCATGTTTCCTAAATAGAACAAAAGAGGTCATTCATGATGCCTCATTATTATCATTATTAAGTTTGTTGCTTTAACTTTCTTCATTTCCAGTTTTCCAAGAGGGGAAAAAATTCAATTTCGACAATTAATCTGCTTGTACTACCAAGACAATAGTGCTTAATTAATTAAATAATTCGCATTGATTTATTAAACGTTAACCAAAATAGTTATTTATAACCACCAATAGTATAAAGGAAAAATAGCTAAAGTTGCATTTATTGAGATAAACAATTTCTCTCTCTTCTCTCTCTTCTCGGGCGACTAGGGTTTATCGATGTCCGCCTCGCCGTCGGCTGCTCCGGCTGGCGAGGGCTGTTCCTGGGCGCAATTGTTTGAGGTTGTCCTGGAGAATCGACTCCAATACCGGCCGCCGATCAAATTTCAGGATGGGTTTCGACTCCCGAAGGAGGTGAAGGAGAAAGGGGCGGAGCGGTTGAAGAATTCGCTCATCGGTCAGTTCGTTGGGACTAGGCCTAAGATACCGGAGCTACAGACTTGGGCAAACGCGCTCTAGGGCGCGAGATGGTATCGTCAGAGTGTCGAAGTTCGTGAGCAAGCTTCTGGTGTTCCAATTTACTTCTGCCGCTGCGTGCAATTGGGTATTCCAGTCAGGGCCTTGGCATTTGAAGGGCAATCCGATCTTCTTTCGGAAATGGAAAGCAGGTATTCAGCCGATTGTTCCGAAGGTGGAGACACTGCCTATCTGGGTAAGGATATGGGGGCTCCCCTTGGATTACCTGTCTCCTGAAGGGCTGGAGTCGGTGTCGAGTATGATAGGGAAGCCGCTCTGGATGGACCAGAAGACGAGGGTGGGAGGAGAGTTAGGGTTTGATCGGGCTTGCGTGGAGCTTGCTGCTGACTGCTCTTTTCCCTCCTCCATTAGGATCTATCCGGATGAGGACCCTTCTTTCGATATCAGAATCGAGTACAACAATCTGCCGAAGGTTTGTTCCAAGTGTAGCATCTTTGGGCACAATTGTGAGGAGGGCCTCAAAGAGTTTGGGTTCCTAAACCGAAGAAGGTGGATGGTGCTGAGGTACAGGGTAAAGATGATGGGGAGATTGACTCAGTTGAGGAGCTGCTCCGACAGGTGCAGGAGTCTGTAATCTAGTGTGTTATGGAAGGTCTAGCTGACGAGGTAATAGAGAAGGACTCGGATGGTGTGGTGTCAGTGCAGGTCCAAGATGTTGGGAGTGTGGACTTCATTGCAGTAGAAGGTAGGCCAGAGGTGATTGTCGGGAATGTGGTTTCCCCTGCACAAATTGGGGGGGGGGGCTCGGGTTAGTTTTGCTGAGGTAGTGAAGGGGTCATCAGCTGCTGCTGGGAGCCCTAACACTCCTTAGCAATTACCTGTTGATGGTCGGTCACCTTCTGTGGAAGGGAGCTCGCTATCTCAGGTGACTGCTCGGACTACTCAGACTGGTTCCCGTTTTGCTATTTTGGATAAAGAGAATAGAACTCCTTTGAATGTTCCTGATAAGGGTAAAAGGATTTGGATTGAACCTCCTGAAGTTGAAGGCAACAAGAGCAAAGGAGGGAAAGGTGGGGGGAGAGGAAGGGGTCGTAAATGAAGATCCTCTCCTGGAATACAAGAGGGTTCGTTGCGGAGAAAAAATATATTGCCTTACTAAATAAAGTAAATAAAGATAGATTAGACATTATAGCTATATTAGAACCTCGGGTGAGTAGAGTGGAAGCAAATAAACTGAAGGGTAAGAGATTTACTGGTTGGGGTCATGAAGTTTTCTTTAACTCTGCAGGATTGGGCAAGATTTGGCTAGTGTGGCGTTTGGAGATCCAGCTAACAATATTGGGCAGCTCTGATCAGTTTGTTCATGTGTTGATTGTTGGTAAGTCTCCATTCTTTGCTACATTTGTTTATGCATCAAATAGTGAGGGTCAAAGGGAAGATCTATATGCTGCTGTGTCTAGAATCAAAGTCGCCAATTTTCCCTGGTTACTAGTAGGGGATTATAATGCAATCCGTGATCCGAGTGAAGGTTCTAATGGTCCTCAATTCTCTTCTAGTATGAGGGCTTTTAATGAATGGTTAAGAGACATTGAAGTCGAAGAACATAAATCTATAGGCCCGTGGTTTACGTGGCTTAATAAAAGGAATGGAGACCCTATTGCTCGAAGATTAGACAGGGTTTTTGTTAATGTGGAGTGGTTGGATGTGATGAAAAATAGTGTTGTGCACACTCAACTTCCAGGGATTTCAGACCATTGTCCAGTACTTATTCAAACTGATTTGCCAATTAAATCTTTGCCTAAGCCTTTTAAGTTCTTTAATTTTTGGCTTGAGCATCCAATGTTTGCGGAGCTGCTTAATCAGTCATGGAAGGAAAGGGTCTCAGGGTCTCCTCTGATCAGGGTTTACAAAAAGTTAAGAATTCTGAAAGGTTTGTTGAAGAAGCTTAATAGGGAGGAATACTCTGACATCAGGGGAAGAGTGAAGGACAAGGAAAGGGAGTTGGAAGCAATTCAACTGGATGCTCTTTCTAATCCCTCGCAGGGGAGTTTTGAATCTGAAGTTAGAGTCTCTAAGGAACTGTTTGAGTTGCTTAAGGCTGAAGAAATTTTCCTAAGGCAGAAGTCGAGGGAACTGTGGTTGAAGTTAGGAGATTCAAATTCAGGGTATTTCCACAGGTCTATGAGAACTAGACTTAAGAGAAATACCATTACCTCTCTTAAAGATGCTCAGGGTAACATAGTAGACTCAGTTGAAGGCATGTGCAGTGTGGCCATTGACTTTTATAAAAATTTGCTGGGAAGAGAGAATCCTCATGTTGTTACTGAGTCTGTTGAGTTCTTCCAGGGCATTCTCAGGCATAAGCTCACCTATGAGTAGGGGTGGCTATACGGTCCAGTCCGGTTAAATTGGCCCAAATTGATCCGGTCCAGTCCGGTTTTTTTGAAAATATAAGGACCGAAGATTGGATTGGATACAGTCCGGTCTTGACCCGGTCCGGTCCCAATTTGGTCTTGGTTTTATATTGAGATTGTGGGAATTTGAGTGGCCTAAGGCCTAAAAGGGTGAGGAGTTGGTTAAGTTTTGTACTAAGTGCAAAGGTTTGTGACCGTTTATGCAAATTACCCTTACGTTTTGGATGTTGAGCTCTCTTATCCGGTCTTTATCCGGTTTTTTTACCTCAAATCTAAGCCCAAAGATTGGATTGGATTGTTTACTATCCGGTCCCGATCCGGTCTCGGTCCGGGTTATA